ATACATACAGGGAGCTGAATATAAAACAGAATTAGTGAAAAACCTAAGCTACTTCAAGTGCTAAACAAAATGCACAAAGACATGCTGATTGAGAAGAGAGTTACAGGTAAACATAACTCAATCAAAACATGCTACTGTTAAATAGTCAAGCCATTCACCTCCCTGAGTACACCGGATAGAAAGAACTACCTACATTGAGTTCCTTCATCTTTGGTTACTAGAAGCTTCATAATAATCATCATAACTAACCAAAAGAAAGACTCCTACAATTTGCACCCACCCTGGGTTTATACAGTGTAATGGGGTTCGCCTTTCTAGGTTACCTATGAGAATCACATGCATCCTTGAGAATATCCTTCTTCTAGTTAATAACTACCTCCTACCTTCCAGAAGCATCTTACCATGGAAAGCAGATTCCTAAATGATCCATCTTGATGTGTCCACTGCAGTTCTTTTTCTTCCTAGAATTCTCTTCCTCCAGCTACCACCATGACTCCCTGCCCACTCTCTTTCTCTCTTTCTCTGGGTTTCTCTGCATAAATGTCATTATATCAGAGAGGCATTCCAATCAGCTGTAGATAAGCAGCTGTACCCTAACCTTACACTGCTCCCTAGCTATCTGGGTTGGTTACATTTTCTGCCATAACATTTACTAACATCTAGCATATATTTATTAGTTTCCATATGTTGTGTGAGCAAGGACTTTGTCCATCGCTGCATTCACAGACTCAGAACATTAAAAAGAACCTTTGATTTATGTGGTATCTTTGCCTATTAATTCTCCCACATAGTTATCAAGTTTAGTTGGCACCTGAGATAACTTTTATTAACACCTTACCAAAAAAAGTCTGAACTTTTAGTTATTAGTGTATGAATGCCAAACAGAATGTGGGAAAGTAATAAACCCAGTGTTGACTAATTTGTTTACTTACCTCTGATCTACATGTGCTTCCTAGAACCATGTGCTTCCTAGGAATGCAGACCTCACAATTCACACTGATATATTTAAGTCTTTTCAATGTCTTTGTGGCTAAAAGATGCAGGTCAGCCTGTTTCATTGAAGAAAATTTGAATGGTTATTAAAAAAGAATCTGTGGGCAGTGAAATCCAGGTTGAGCATACTACTGTATTACAAGGTAAACCCTGTCTTCAAGAAGACTATTCCTGACTGTAGTGTGGTGACAAGTACCACTTGCTCTGGAGTGTTAGTAGTATTACATCTTCCTCTCCCCACTTGGAAAAAAAGCATTCCTCCTTACTTTTCACAGCTTTACTTGAAGATTGAAAACAAATCATCATCAACAACAACAACAACAGGAAATCAAACAACCAAATAAGACAGCCTCAAACTTAACTGAAGTCAGAATCAGAGTTCAAGTCCATTTTATATTATTTTCTAAGATATCTTTGGTGAGATTTCTGTTAACATTTACTGTTCTGTATAGAAATGGTTTGAAAGTTTAAGTAGTATGAAATAATATTTATAATTTGGCCATGAAAAGAAAGTCAGTCAGTCTAGCCAGCCAGCCATTTTTGCTGCATAGTTTTTTCTTCTAAGTCTTTAAGAAGATGATTAAATACTGTGTATCTGTCTGTGAGAGGTATAGTGGCCCCCAAATGACAAGTATCAAACAAAAGACCTTCACTGAGGGAAAAGGGACAAAGTAAGTATATAGCTTACAGCTACTCCTTTCTCCAACTCCATTTTATAGACTTTTATCCTATCCCTTTTTTATCTTTCTTCTGTTTGTAAGAAGTGCTTGAAGGAGTGAAAATAAGGATGAATGAACCAACAGAAAAAATGATGAAATGAAGAGAAGCCTTATTAGTATGTCCTCCTAGAGGTAGTATCAGTTCAAGAACAATGAAAAATGTTACAGATTTCCAAGTTCTTTAAACCTTGGGTGGGCTGCCTTCAACCTGTCTTCTACCCTGAATTCTTAGCATTTACAGCTAGAGGAAGTTGTTAATCTTCAAGCTGCATTTCCATAAGCTAAAACTTCCTGATACAAACAAGAAGTTTTGCTTTTCATGGGGATCTATGCTTCTAAGCTGTTCCTATAGAAAGCCTTCAGAACTGGATGGAGGCAAAGGAAACATATTTATAAATACAGATTACTGCTCCTTGTACCTTTCTACCAAAAGTTCACTCAACGATTTGAGTGCTCACATACTTCTCCTCTTCACCCCCACCTTCAAGTGAAAACTTGAGAGGAAGAAAAATAGGGGAAGTTAGATGAGTAAATTTATTAGTGCTTTATATCAACTGAAAACAAGGAATTCCCCCTCCTGGATTTCAGTGGCCTAATTCAAACTCATAAAACACCAGTGACTAAGACAGTTCCCACTGATTTGTAAAATAAGAAGCAGAAAAAGTCAATTGTGTATTTCAATATTGAGAGGCCCAGGTCTGAAAGATGTTACATTCTCCACAACAGAACCGAGACAATCACTACTGAAACTTTCAGCTTCAGCCAACTTTTACTCTGCATTTCGACACAAATTACTTCCCATCTGTGATTCCAACAGCCTATTTGGATTCAGATTCTGTTTCTACAACAGACAAATGGCCCGAAGTAAGTTCCTTTGTTTCTCTGTGCTTAGGCATCTCACCTATGAAATAGACACAACACAATAGTACCAACAGCTTGCTATGAAGATCCCACAGATCAATGCCAGTAGACTACCTACAATAGCAGCTACCCCAAACACACTAAATCTACAATAAATAGTAGTCAAAATTTTTTTACTACTTTAGTTAATCTGCCATGCCAGCAGTCACATACAGTTTACCATAAACACATATGTCTGGAGCTAAACTGATGGGGTTTGGGGAATAACAAATGAGTAGAGAACCATTACTCCAGGTTCCCTAACGTGCATTTTTATGTAGGATCAAGTGTTAAGGTCACATAACTCACTATCCAGGCTCTGTGATTTAGAGAAACCAACAGACTTACTTGACTACCAAGGGGCAAAGTAAGCTCAAAATATAACCACACTTGTTCCCTAAGGTTGGGCCTCTTACAGAATAAATAGTTCAGATTTGGAGATGATGTTGTATGCAGGTAATCAGAACTATGAACGCAAGCAGCAAAGCATGGCTCAAGCTATATAAACTCAAGCCATTTTTCTTAAATAAGATATCTAGTGGGGTGTGTGTGTGTGTTGTGAAGATATCAATGGATTCTCTTTTTTAAAATATTTTTTTTTCATTTAAAAAATGTTGAAGGCAGAAAAACCCTAATAACATCATTAGCAAGGTCAAGGTCTCCAGCAGGACCAGTCTTCAGGAAATCAATTTTTTTTTCATGGCAAGAAAGGAATATGCTTTAAAATGAAACCTTAGCTTGGCCTTTATTACAGACAATTCCACCCTGTACCTCAGAGGAGCTGCGTTACTTTTTACATACAAAGTTATCACTATATTTAGATTAATATTTTAAAGTGGTTTCAAACAAAATATGTGCTATTTATAATAGCTATTTACAATAGCCAAGAAAAGCAAATGTTTTGGTTGTTATACTGACATACAAAGACATCAAATCCAACTTTTGAATGCATCAAATGTGTTTCATCAGAAAAACTAAAGGAAATGAGCTGTAACAGTGTATTCATATAACATAGTTTACAGCTAATAGCACATTTACTCTGTTTTATGTCTTAGATTAACCTAAATACATTAGAATGCATAGATTGTAATGAATGGGGAGTAAGAGAAGAAGTTATAGCTTGGAACCCTAAGAAGTTAAGCTAGTAGATGCTAAGATTAAATTACTGACATTTTACATATGTAGTCTGTATAACAATTGTTTTATATTGGTCATTTTTCAAAAAAATTAGGGTAGTTTACTAGGTAAGTACAAGATATGTTAGATGAAATATATGTTCTCACTCAGCTGCTCATCTTTGAAAGTAGTTAATAAAATGGCATTACTTTGCAAACCCTCCTTAACTCTTATTCTTCCTGCTATCAAGAAAATAAATGGACAATCATTTAAATTATATATATAAACTCCATATAAAACTGGCTTGTTTTTTCTTTCTGAATAAAAACACCTATCTTCCATATTTCAACCATGTAATCTAAACAACTATTTTTTAGGATAAATAAGTTTTCAAAACTATTACTATAAAAAACAGTAAGCAACAGCAAAAAAAAAAAAACTTAGTCACCAACATTTTTGTCTTGTCAATAGCATTTTGAAATGGACATAAGAAAATTAAGTTGAAGACAGAGATAAAAATATAGATCCAGAAATCTTTCAGTATGTTCAACGCCAACAATACCAGAAGTGGTTTACTAAAATGACAAGCACAACATGCCAACAGGAAGTAAGTGCTGAAACATTAAGCAAGGAAGGAGGCACAGGGATATAAAATGGGGAGTTTAGAAAGAGCTTATTTTTAATGACTAGAAACATAGGGACAAGAGAGCCACCTTGTACATTTTTTTTGTTTGTTTGATTGGTTGGTTGGTTGAGTTTTTTTTGAAGAGCACTTTTAGAAGAAGTCTTCCTTTCAAGATTCAATCATGCAGATCAGTTTCCTAGACCTGCCTGGTTTCCCAAAGGCATTTACTGTGCCCAGCATGACTCCTGTGCCGAAGTATCACTCCCTCTAAGGTGGCCCTTTCTCCCTTAACAGCCTAGACCTTTCAGGGTAAAAAGTTCTAGAAAATAAGTATAAAAGGACTTTCTGTAATTGTATATGAAAATTCTTTGGAGTTCAAAACAAAATGTTATTTCTTTTGTCTTAATTTTTCCTATTTAAAAAAGAGAGCAGGGGGGGGTGGATGGGTGGGGGCACACCCTCTTAGAAGCACTAGGAGGGGGAACTGGATAGGGAGTTCCTGGGGGGAGGATGAAGAAAGGGGATAACATCTGAAATGTAAATAGGTAGAATCTCTAATTTAAAAAAAAGCCAGGTTGACTCACCAAGAATGAGCTTGGATCCCTGAAACTCCCAAAGTCCATTCCACCACAGACCTGTGAACAAACATTTCACACGGAGGAGGGGACCCTATTAATGACCAGAATGGTGATATCACCATCACCTTCACATGACACTAGGCGTAGGGCAAGCAGGAATGCAGGAAGCAGGTGACACACCCCTCTGACTCAGCCAAGTTTCAGTGCTTGCAAATCTTGGCTCCATTATTTCCTTCCTATGTCATTTTGGGCATTTGGCTTCATTTCTCTGTCCATTGCTTTCTCTACAGTAAAACTGAGTAACAATCATACTGGCTTTCCAGTTCATACATCTAAAGCATTTTATATTAAGATCTATCTCCTGGGTAAATATCAAGAACTGGTCAGCACTGAACTAGATGCCAGGGATATATTTAGAAAAGTATCTAACACATACCATGAGTTCAATAAATGTTAATTCAAGAGTTAAAAAGCCTTATCTGGCACTCCAACACATACATACATACATACATACATGCATGCATACATACATACATACATACATACATACATACATAACTCCAGGGGAGGTCTGGTACTCTATTCCAGAATCAAATATGTGAAAATATGTCTCTGATAAAATGTACAGACTTAGTGAGCTAAATAAAGACTACAAGTAGACTCACATAAGCTCAGGTCAGGACTTGCCACCAGTTTGTGACATGAATTTTTTTAATTTGTTAGAATATTTTGGACTGTAGAAGAATTGGTAGGTTTCTATTTATTAAGTAAGAGATAACTTTCAACTGAAATCTTTTCCTCACTAATTCTCAAGGTATGAGTGACAAAATAAATTGCTAAAACAATTGCAGAATAGAAAATACTTTCGGGCATGGAAAAATGCAAGAGAGCATAATTAATGTATAATACATATTAGTCTAAACAGTCTCTTGCTTTGATACAGTGTTTCCTAGATTCTCAGCCTGCCAATCCATTCCATAAACACCACTCAAAGTCTCTTTTTAAAGAATGTTAAAAGTAATTTTTGAATGTAAGATAAAATGCTTAGGGCTTATGACTGCTTAAAAATATACTCCTATTTATTCCATAGGAAAAAGAAGACAAAAGCTAAAAAACTGGCAAATGATCGATTGGTTGGAAAGCATGTGTCTCATAAGAACACCGAAGCCTCCGTAGTCATCCTTGGGGGGAGAGGAATAAATGCTATACCAAACTGGTAAGCCATTCTGCTGTTACCAAAGGAATTCTCTCCACATTTCATTTGAAGGAAATATTTGCAGCTCTTCAAGAGCCTACAATAATTGGTTCAAGATGTTCTTCTCACGGCTGGTCAGCATTGGATAGAGGGTGTGCACAACCTCATGGAAGCTGACTTTTACTCATTACTCCGTATGTTGGTACTTATCTCTCCCAATTTTTCACATACTAATTTTGTATTAAAGTATGGCTTCCTTCTAGGCCCATGCTTCCCACTTTCATGCTGATCCTGTATACAAAGGCAAGTCAAGAAGATCTGAAAGGAAAGGAGATCATTATAATGCCACATGGTTTTCTCCTTCTTTTCTATCCTTCTACTCGATGAGACTGTAGCAGGAGGTCTGAATGACATTTATGAATTGAAACCTTAAAGCTATATTTCAATACCTAACTACTCAGTTGTCAGAGAACAACATTTTGAGGCTTAGCCAGCAGGGTTCTAACAGATAGCTATTGTTGATTTAAGGCCTCCTTTTCAAAATAAGCTTACACATATGTGCGTGCACGCATATGCATGCACTAACATTTGAAGGTATACAGTACACTTATCAAACACTACTGGGTAGAAATGATTGAGGTATGTCTCTCAAATGGCTTCCTTTCACTTTGCTGTTTTGCAAACTCACAAAGACCAAATATGCCAAAATACCAATACCTTCAATAACTCTGGGAGAGAATTCAGAGCAATGTTTTGAGATGTATATGTAAAAATAAAAAACTCAGAACAAAGAATGACAAACTAAATTTTAAAGATGAAGATTTTGGATAATCTTCTGTGATTCTTTCTAATATTTACTATTTAAATTTATATTATATCCCACTTTTAATCACTCAAGACAATGGCTTCTAAATATCTGAAGAACATCTGAAGTTTTATATAGTCTTTTTCTTATCTTGCATGTATTAAGCCCAATATTAAATTACCATATTTTTTATCCAAGTATTTATGTGAAACACAGAGGTGAAAATAAGTATTAGTCACTGAATATACACTAGCAGTAGGATATAAATTAGCTAGAAATACTATCATGCTTTCTCACTATTTTCTGTCTCCTTCTCAAACCTTTAAATGCATGTGTGTCAGGAGGGCACACCTTATTTAAGCCAAATGACATGTGACATTCACAAAAATTTGCAACACCAGTGTGCTAATGTACAGCTGGATCTGCATCTCACAGCCCATGTTTGTCTTTTCATTGAAACTGAAGCTTTGGGAGCTATTAGCCTAAGAAAAAGGATCTTTAAAACCTTAAAGTGTGGGGGCACAATTTACAGATTCCCACATATTCTTCCCATCTGCAGCCCACTCAACTAACAGAAACTCACGGCTTTGCTATCCTGTTATGGCTTTCTTCTTTTAAGCTGAGGATTTTATGATTTCAAAAGGAATAGAATGAGAGCCAGAAGTCAAGAATGTATCTTCTACTTTTAATTCAGTTAGGGCTTCTTAAAGAAAAATAAATAATATTACACTCTTTATAATTCGAAGCCCAACTCTGTTTATGTCATAATTACATGTTTACACTCATAAATGGAGATTGTCCAGAATACCTATATAATTACTAACACTTAAAAATTTCCATCTAATTCTTTGTAATTCTATATCACATGATTACTTCTACTGACTAATAAGAAACACAAAAATCAAGCAGCCACCTACTATCCTAATCTGCTTGTTAGGTTCAACCTTTATGCAATCTTATTTCAGCAAAGTCAAGAAGTCAAACATTCACACTAATATAAAACTGCTATCTCAGTGTCCTTTGGAACACAGATATTCACAGCTTTACTGTTTTTTGTTTTTTTTTTTTTTCTGGAATAGGAGCAGCTCAGATTCAAAACCAGAAAACTGAATTTCAGGTTTCAGAGAAAGGAAGGCAGGCAGACACGGGAGTATCACACCATTAAGAGTTAGTTGCTCATTACCATCTTGAAAATGTTATGCACTGTATGGAAATAAGCACCCTTTTGCTTTACTAATGTAATCAAATAGAACAATCTTAATACCATGACATGAATGCAGAACAAATTCTATGACCACCATAATCTGCCGTTCACAATCAGATGTTTTGGGTGCACTGCTTCAACTTTCATTTTGTAAAGATCTAGATAAAATACGACACACTGGGGAAGCAAAGGAGCCGAATAATTCTGAAAGTATCTCTTCAAATTTCAACTTGCTAGTCAGACTGAATGCAAATCTCTATCCATGGAAAATTAATGTAGCAATTCAAGCAAACAGCCCATTTTAATTTCATGCTTTGCCCCACTGGAAAGGAAACCATGTTCAAAAAGTAAGATCTAGTTCTATTACATATGTTTAGTTGAACTAGTAAGTAACACCCAGCTTGCTTTGTTAATTACTTGATTTCTTCTGAGCTTTTATACTATACTGTAGGGCTGACTGCTTTTTAAAATCCCTACCTTTGTTTTATGTTCTCTGTTTTACACACTTGTTAGGGGTCTGTGAACAATTTTGCAATTCTCCCACACACCATATGATATCTATTAGGGACAATGCCACTTTTCACTTACCGACTCTGGATAACGTAGTGTTTCCTGGTGACAGAATGCGGAGGCTTCCATTTGCTGAAACTCTCTCTTCTCAGCTTGGTAAATCTGATTATAAAACGGCTTTGTTCTGATCACACAAGGCACTTTTCCCCACACAAGTTTGTTAACGAGTTATCTGCATTTCATTCCTGTGACAAAATGAATCAGACAAAAGGGAAAAGGGGGACAGGGAATAAGTCCACACAAGTTCTTGGCACACATTTTCAGCTACATTTTTCTCAGTTTAATCAGTAAGCTGCATTAAAGTGACAGTTACCAGTTTAGGAAGGCAGAGTTTGATCAAATCAGCTACAAGCAATCTCAGTGTCTTGCACTGGTGTGTAGACCCCATGGCTGCAGTCACTTGGTCATCTATCACACGGAGGAATCACTGGACAGTCCCCGCCCCCATCCTGCTCCTGATGAGCAGCAGCCAGCAGGAGAGTGGAGAGTGGACAGTCAGTCGCCTAACCCGGGACTTCTTATAGGGACCTGACAATTAGCTGCTGACCAATCGCAACCAGCACCTAGTACCTAAGTCACATGACAGGGCAGTCTTTATGCCTGTAGAATTTCTGAATTACTGGGGTTATACAAAAGACACTCATTCGGGAAAGAGGGGGGGGGGTCATAAGCCGAAACAGAAAACGTCCTGGCTGTGACAACCCGAGCTTTAAAACAAGTAACACCCTAGCCTCACCCAGACAAAGAAGGAGACCTAGCCAGGGTGGGAATCAGAAGAATGTCCGGCATGTATTAAAAAAGAATCCCAAAGCAGAGGCTAAGTTTAAAGACTCAGTTCAGCTATAAATGAACTTCTCATCCTGCTTCTGACGATCTCCGGAACAATTTCACATTCTAAGCTTCATGCTGCACAGCTCCACAGAGGCTCACAGAGCCTCCCTAGGGAGAGGAGAGAGGTGCTTAAGCTCCTCTTTCCTTCCCACAAAGAGCACCAAGAGTGATTCCTAAGTTAAACACATCCCTTTTAAAAAAACGATTGTAAAAATTAAGCAAATTTAACCATCTTTGGGACAAATCTTTATGCTAACTACAAATCATGCCCCCGTCCATTTTCATTTGTTCATATCAAGAGCACTCTTGTTAAGTAAACCAGCCTATTTCATGAAGTAGCTGACAATTTATTTTTAACACCCCCAATTTTTCTTAAATACCAGTTATGCCCGAGAAAAAATTCAACCACAAACACTCTTACCATTTCTTCATTCTCTGAAAATGGTTCCTTGCTTGGATCTGTCCATTTCTTCTCCCCCTCTCCTGACATCTAAAGTCAAAATACGGGCTCAAACTCTTTTGTCCAAACCAGATGCTGAATTTTGCTCAGGCAAAGCTGCAATAGCTCTTTCTCCAAGGCAAACCCAGAGCACTGTGCTGCTTGCCATTTCCAATTTATGGAAGGAAGCATATGTCAAACAAACCAGATAATGACTCACTGCCTCCCCCGGCCACATTTTCCCCAGAATGGGAGGGTAGTGTAAGTACAGCCCATTTTGATGTGACTCACTTTTATTAGACTGGTAGTTGTAGTTGATCTGACAAGCTCCCATTTTTTCTTTCCTTTCTAGCTCACACATTTAAGGATCAGAATGCATGTTCTAATAGGTTTCAAAGCATTTAATCATATAAACAAGAAAGCTCCGAGATTGTATTTTAAGCCTCAGCTTAGCTCTGGCCCCACTTTATAATATGTAATGTTTCAGAACCACATGCAATACATTTTACAATTAAGGTCACTGAAAATCAAAGTTCATACAACAGTGGGGAAAAGGTTTTCTATATGCAGGTCTGCCTCCTGTCTTTATCATGGGAGGAACCCAGTTTTACATTTCTTGTTGGGGCCCATGTGGCAAGCTCTTCAGGAAGTGGTCAGAGACATGAGAGCCGAGCTGTGTAACAGGCTTTCACTTTTGCATGTACTGCAATTTGCACTCTAACCTGAGTCACTCACAGAAAATCACAAATTCTACAATGGCCCTGCCCACCCCAACATCTCAATAGTCTTTTGATGTCAACTTGTTTAATAGCTGAAGACAAAAGCCTTAAAAATCACCAAATAGTCTCTGGGGAAATCCCAAGCAAATAAACTGCTTCCAGGTCTCCTCTTCAGTATGATGCTAAACTACCATGATAAGAGTGGCATTATATTTGTGGAATCAATTATTCTTAGGTATTTTAGAGATAGGAAGAAATGGAATAATAAATGCAATCCCCCCTACACACACATACAAAATCTGAAAGGCTCAGGCAAACAGTCAAACTACAGTTATCTCTTTTCAGCATACTTCCTTTAACCTTGAGCAAAGTCAGCAACTGCTTTGACGAGGGCTTTTGCTGTTGATTAAACTTTGACGGATAACTAGTTATGTTACAATGTAGGACAGACATACCTTCTATTTTTAAAACACAAGGCAAATAGCTAATGTTTCAACTCACAGATGAAGACACAGAAAAGATACACACATGGAAATATTATTTAAAACAGCTAGTTTGGAAGTTGATCACTTTATAAATATATAAGGTTTTTTTTTTTTTACTGGAATAAACATCACTCTAAATTTTCATAAAGAGTCAGTTTTCAGAAATTAAATTTAAAAACTACTTGGAAGTGCATTTCCAAATTATACTTTAAGTCTTTCAATTTTAAGTACATGCACATATTTCTCAACTAGTTATTAAAACCTGTTCATATTTCAACAGGGATATATTAATCTAGCGGCTGACATTTTCCGAGTAGAGCTTTATTGGCTTAAAGGCAGTTACCTTCCCATGGTACACAGAGAACATCAAGTCTATAATTACTTAGCTTTCGATGGAAATTAACACAGAGTATAAAAGCAGACTTTAATAAAAATCAAAGAGCCAAAACTCCGGCATCTGAAGAAACCTATAACATCTCTTAAAAGTCTGGGGAATGCCTGGTGTTTCAATCCCAGTTCCTCCATTCCTAGCTTTGCACCTGAACTAAAAAGGGTTGATAGAGTGTTTGAGTCACACACAGAAGTTATTTTATCACTTAAAAATAACATTTAAAACTACTTTATTAGTGATGACACACACCTGACCAAGCCATCATTTCTGTAGAGTATCTCAGAATCTGTTTGGGCTTTTCCCATCACATTTTCTGGAGGATCCTTAAAGTCAGTGCAGAAAGGAGCTATAACCAGATGGAACCAGTCAGAAAAGACATTCCAAAACTCTCATAGCAGCCCAACCATTGTGACAAAAAGCCTGCCTTCCTGCACATACAGGAACATGAAAGGTTGTGTAGGATTGTGGCAAGAGGATAAGGAGTTAGTTCAACGCCAGCCTAGGTGAAACCCTGCCTCAAAATTAAAATAAAACAAAAAAATGAAACAACAACAAAACAAAACAGAACTATCATTCTAGTTGGCCCAGATAGGTCAAGACATTAAAACTGTTAGCAGCCAGGAAAAGATGAATGACTCAAAAAGTTGGAGTAACATTGTAGCCCTGTTCAGGGTAGAGCACTGTTCCGGGCAGAGTGCAGAGCACCTCCAAACAGCTCCAAATCAAAGGGATAAAGCGTACAGACCCAGACTAGACGCATGATGTACTCCTTTGCTTTGTTTTGTTTTCTTCCATAAGGCCACCACATAAAACCCTACGACATGTACCCTAAGGGAAGCCCAGGCAGTTGGGTGAAGAGCCTCAGTATATGTTCTCTGTTAGAATATCTTTCATTAAGAAATTCTAATTCCTCTAAGTACACGAAGCTCTGGTTCCATCTGAAAGCTATATGAAGCAGCTCAACCGTCTCACAAGCCCACCAGTAACAAAAGCTAATAGTTTCCAGTCAACATGTGACATAGTTGACGGATGATTTAAAAAAAAAAGACAGCAGGCAGACATCTCTGAGGTACAAGTACACTATATAAATATGCAGATCCTCAAATACTGTGTTCTGTTGAAGGGCAAAGGGTGAGCAACTGACCCAGCCTGCCTTTAACATCATGGGGGTAAGACATGATGCAAATGGTGGTGGCATGAAAGGCTCTAAGACTTCCCCTTTTTGGTGGGAGCTTGTGTCAGAGGTCAGAGGTACAGATCCTGTTCAACTTTAAACTAAAAGGTTGTATGGAGAAACAACACAGAGTTCTTTCTTTTCCAGAAACTCAAAATACTAAACCATCTGACTTTTTCAGTTCTAGAAATCCCAATTATAGGTCAAGGTGAACACAAACAGCCCATGATCCAGTACTGGCCCTGGGATGGTATTGCCTAAAGGAACATGGGAGAGTCACTTCCTTTCTGTTTTTCATCACCTGGATAATAGACATGAACAAGAAAATAAGAGGAAAAAACAAAAATCTCTGCTTTAGTAGAGCCCACCACATTACCAAGGCTGAGCAGCTACCCCCAATAGTTCTCTTCCATTCTAAGGAAGGAAAGAACAGTCTCAAGCTTCCATATCATACAGTTCATTCGAGCAAATAAAGTGACTTCATCAGTTGTATTTTGTAACAATCAAAAATCTAGAGAATGTCAAGTATGACGATACATGTCTATGATTCTCTGCCTTTGGAAGCAGAGACAGGAGGAATACAAGTTCACTCTGAGCCACAGAGTGAGATCCTTGCTACAAAATATCAAAAAATCATTTTTTATTTAGTAAAGTATTCTACTTTCAGAGCACATTAACTTAATGTATAGTTTACATAAAATTCCCAGTATAAGAATTAGGAACATGCCTCCACAGCTGGGCTACATGAATGCCTTGACAAACATGTACATGAACTACATGAAGATTTATGTAGGAAACTGGGTACATGTCTTTATGAGGACTGGATTGTGCTCTAAGCTTTTCATCTCATAGAAGTAGCTGCCTGTCTTCTTGCAGTGATTTCACACAGAAGCTGAATACTTCACTCAGAAAATTTTTTTATTACTTGTCTCCTGTCCCTACCCATTTAAAAGAACGAACTGACTCAGTTCTTTGATGACAATAACATCGTGGGTGGGAGTAAACACACGAGTGGGCAGGGTAGGAGAAGAAGAGGAGGATGAGGAGGAAGAGGAAAAGGAGGAAACAGAGGAGGAGAAGGGAAAGAGAAAGGAGCCAAAAGCTGAATCATGCCATGTGAGTAATCTTGGGTCTTTTTTCTTCTTCATAAGGATATAAATCAAATTAAGCTTGTTTTGCTATGGGTGAAGGAAAGAAAATATAATAATATGAATCAGAGCAATTATCAACTATGTGACATTCACTAAAAATTAACTACAATCACTGCTTTCTCACAAGCTATCCAAAAGATGTAAAAGCACTTGTTAATCAATATAATTCTTGACAAAAATCCCTCAAATTTCAACTCAGTTATAACTCTCTTCTCTAAAAAGAATAAAATTCCTTTTGCACATATATTTCAGAAACAAG